TTGGGCATTTCGTTTTTTCTTTTTTTCTTTTTTTCTGCCATTTTCGACCTCTGCAATGCAGAGGAAGAGGGAGAGAAAGAGAGGGAGAGGGAGAGAAAGAGAGGGAGAGGGAGAGAAAGAGAGGGAGAGGGAGAGAAAGAGAGGGAGAGGGAGAGAAAGAGAGGGAGAGGGAGAGAAAGAGAGGGAGAGGGAGAGAAAGAGAGGGAGAGGGAGAGAAAGAGAGGGAGAGGGAGAGAAAGAGAGGGAGAGGGAGAGAAAGAGAGGGAGAGGGAGAGAAAGAGAGGGAGAGGGAGAGAAAGAGAGGGAGAGGGAGAGAAAGAGAGGGAGAGGGAGAGAAAGAGAGGGAGAGGGAGAGAAAGAGAGGGAGAGGGAGAGAAAGAGAGGGAGAGGGAGAGAAAGAGAGGGAGAGGGAGAGAAAGAGAGGGAGAGGGAGAGAAAGAGAGGGAGAGGGAGAGAAAGAGAGGGAGAGGGAGAGAAAGAGAGGGAGAGGGAGAGAAAGAGAGGGAGAGGAGAAAGAGAAGGGAGGGAGAGGAAGAAGGTCGGCGTCGTCGCAGCCCCGCCCCGCCGTCGTCGCAGCTCCGGCCGCCGCTGCTGCTTCCTCCTCCGTCGCAGCCCCGCCTCCGTCGCAGCCCAGCCTCCCCTCCTCCTCAAACCGGTTTTTATGGCCCCCTCCCCTCCCTCCTCCTCCTCCTCCTCCTCCATTCTCTTCTTCTCCCTCCTCCTTCTTCTTCTTCTTCTTCTTCTTCTTCTTCTGCTTCGTTCTGCAAACCAGGAAAAAAAAAAAAAAAAAAAACAAAATCGACACCAAAACGACGTCGTTTTGGTGTCGAGCCGCGTTTCGAACCGCGGCATTCGAGTTACGTAGCACGATCGCACCGATAAATTGTACCAAAACTTTTCAGAAGGCATTGAGATAGGAATCAGAGGACAAGGAAGACCAGGAGGCTGCAATACCAAGGCAATTTATATAGGGATAAATAAATAAATAAACTAAAGTACAAAGCCACAAAAACGGTAACAAAAATCACCATGTAATTCTTAAAAAAATCATCATTTTTCCTTATTGGGGTTGCTTAGAAGGAAAAGAATTAAAATAAGAAAGAAAGTAAACCGTTATTATTAGATTCTTTGTCTTTTGTTATATTGAAACAGAACAAGAAAGAAGAAACTTTTATCAAAAGCTAGAGAGAAAGAATAGAGAAGAGACATATTCAGCGTTGGTCTAAGTTTTTACTGAGAAGTATTTCAAAATCATCATGTATAGACATATTCACAAGTAATTTTTGAACAAAATAAAAATAAAATTTCAAACTCACATCGATTATATAACCAAAAATAGACATGAGCAGTAATTTAATAAACATTTATCAAAATACTTGAAACCAAAAAAAAAAAAAAGTAGTGAAAATATATGGAGAAATTATTTTTTGATGTATCTAAAAAAATAATATGAGAAAATTAGTGGGTACCTATCCCCGGTAGAGATTTAAAAAATATCACTTATCCTACCCAACGGACAAGAAAAAAAAGAAAAAAATCATGTATTTGGGTTGGGTCTCTATAAATACCCACAAGATAAGTTATCTATTACCATCCCTACGAGAATACGGTAAAAATGATAAAATATTATAATTTTATGTTGATAATTAAAAAATAAAAAAAACATAATAAATAATAATTGACGAATAAATATGAATATGTAATACTCCAGACTATTTAATAATTTTTTGAGAAATCCTCGGTAATAATTTTTTGAGAAATCCTGAGTAAGAAATTAGTAGACCGTTAATTTGGTTGGGAGAAGAGACTTATTAGAGACTGCTATATTGACGGTCCACACGTGACAACAGCTGGAACCGTCGTTATCCTTGGCCCACGCTGTCACCCGCCAACCCTTTTGCCAAAAAAGCATGAATGGCAAAAGCCAGCCAACCAACAACCCCTGTTATACCCCCAGGAGAATTCCAACCCAAATTGCCCAAATCCCCCATTTCTCTTTCTCTCATTATTATCCATTAAAAAAATTGTTAACAATTTGCATTTGGAGTTAGATATATATATATATACATATATATGTATGTACATATCTAGTAGTTAGAAGACAGAGAAAGCCCTAATGGCGGAGGCGGAGAAAGTAGGGGCCGGCGTGAAGGAGGAGGAGGAGGAGGAAGAACAGAAGTTTTTGGAAGGTGTGACAGTGTTGGATTTTGATATGCTGTGCTCTACGGTGGCTTCTCAGACCCAAGGCAAATGGAGGAATTTAGATACTCTTCATCATGATGAATCTCAAGATGGTGTTGTTGGCGCTGAATTTGGAGGTGTTCTTCGGATGTGGGAAGGTGAAGTTGTCAATTGCTTCGACGACCGCCGCATCGCTCTCCAATCCGCTTGGTAAAAACCCACCCTTACTGAGACACATCTCTGTTTCAGGCTAAATGTGATTTTTTTTTTTCTCTTTTTTGTTCCTCTTGGTGAAATCAGGGGATTCCCGTCGATTCTTTAATTAAACTTCTAGCCTTTGAATAGGTTGTTGAATAGTGCAAATGGGTTTTGACGAATGAATGATATTCTTCATTTTTCTCTTGATTTACCGTCACTTATATGGTTAGAATTAGAATATGTTTGCAATTGCACCCATGTTGACGCACTGTTAATTTCAACAAATATTTATACTTGAATTGTTGTTTGATACTTGTGTTAAATCGGATTGTGCATTTGCAGTTGTCCATGCTATCGATTTGGGAAGAACATGGGGCGGGCTGGTTTTGGTTCTTGTTTTGTTCAGGTTAAGTATTTTCATTGTTTAGAAATGTTACGCTTACTTTGTTTTTAGTAACACCTGTAATTAGCCCCCATCGTTCTGGTAATATATTTCTATGTGCATGGATTACAAGAAATACAATGAGAATAGGGAAAAAAGAATAAATAAAAAAATTTGAATCCTTAACTCAACTACTTATGACGGACACATTTGACGTTATTTTTCCCCTTCCTTTTGTCTTGGAACTTTAAAATGTGCCCAACATGTACAAAAGTTCCTGAATAATCTGTTTTTAAAGTAGATATTTTTTTCAATGGCACATGATATTTCCTGTGGAAGTGTCATATGCTTGACCAGTTTCAAATCAGTTTGACCCCAACCATATGGTTTGACACTAACTCTCAACACTTGGTAGTATCTTTTCTTGCTCAGTGCCATGAGTCATTTTGATTCTACTTGTATTATGATGCTGTCAATGTTTGTCCACATATGCTACGACAAATAATTAAGGGGAATTCCATTTTATCTATTGTCGTTTACCTCCGGAGCACAAAACCCCTTGTTGTTCAAAAATAACTATGTGGTTTTAGACTAAAATGTAACACTAACTGTGTTAGTTGAAAGTAAAAAATAACCTTCATAGTCCTTTGCTATCTTCTCTTTCTTTCGTTTTTGTTTCAACTCTGTCAACCACCACCACCAGATTAAATCGCCACTGCCACAACCCACACCTACCAGATTCAACCATCATTGCTATATTATATACACATATATATACCTATACATATACATGTACATATAATAATCTACTTTTGTACACATCTATAGAACCTTTCTAGACACACATATACACAGCCTAGTGAGCACAATTTGATTGGTGGGAGCAACTTTGCATCAGACGTGGAAGCTTTTATTGGCGATGCGTTGCCTAGAATGTTGCTGTTTGCAGCCCTATTTTTCCCGTCATATCTATAGCACTCCTGGACCTGAGAGAGGTTTAGGTACTTGGTTTTGGCACCAAATAGGTAAATGCCTAAAAAAATTAAAACAATTAGACAATAACAAATTGATAAGGAAAATGATATACAAGCCCACTTTCTAGACCTAATGACTTGTCAAAGATATGATTGGCTAATGATTAGAGAAAATATGATAGAAAGAGTTGACTTAGATATTTTAATAAATTGTCATATTATTGGGTTTGAAAAGTGAGTCTAATTTTTGGACCCGAATAGCACTATTCAATTGATAAATAATGAAGAATTCAAATTTACCTTGGTCAGGTAGTGTTGTAATGTAGTCCACCAAATGAAAATTTGAGCACTGGTTGTCTTTAGAGTGTAGACCCATGAAACTTTGATCACCTGACAGTGACAAGGCATGGTAAAAGGGGGGCTGGGAGGTTAGGGAGGACAGGGGAGGTGGATGAGGAGGCCTAGGAGGAGGGCTGGGAGAGTGGTGGAAAGGGCTGGCGTGTGGTGCCGGTGGTGATAAGAGATTGAGGGTGGCAGCCGCAAGCTGGCCATCTGGAGTTGTTGATGGCTGGGGTGGGGGTAGGGTTAAGGTTAGAATTGAGATGTTAGGAATGGGGGGATAACATAGGAATTTTAAAAAAAATGCCTAATTAGTACACATTAATTTGTGTTTGGAAGGAGAAAGATTGGGTATATATTTAGCCTTTGGCATAGTGTACAAAGTGGTGGGATTTTAGAAAAAATAATACCCAATTAGTACACTTTAATGTGTGTTTCGGAGGAAAAAGATTGGGTATACACCTAACTTTTGGCATAGTGCACAAAGTGGTTACCCAGTGATTTGAACCCATAATCTCAAGGTTATTAGGTCAGGATTTTACCATTAAGCCAATGATCACCCCTAAAATAGGAATTTTATGTTATGGTAAAATTGTAATATAAAGAAAATAAAGTAGGTGGGGGTCCTAAAGAGAAAGGTGGGTGTTATTAGCAATACTCTAAATGAATATATGCTAATTGATATAGCAGTAAGTTACATTTATATTATTAGGAATTGGGGATAGTTAATCATTTTTCATTCTGTACTTATTCCTAAATTTCAATTATCCTATCTTTTTAAACCATTGAAACTTTGTTAAAGTGCGAATTTTCATTTTAATTCAAGCAGGGAATTGTGTATTTCATTCTTGCTGCTACGGCACTTCTCAGCTGCATAGCCTTTATTGTGACCAAGAGAAATTGTTTTCTGTATTTGGCCGTTGTTTTCACCATCTCAGTTGGAACATATCTGGGATTTTACCGTACACAGATCAGGAAAAAGTTTAACATCAGTGTAAGCATCTCTATCTAAGGTTGTTTATGATTCTACATTGTCTGACTCCTGTTCTTCAGGCAGCCTTTGTTTAATATATATTTTTTCCTATTTTTGTTTCACTCTGGGACAGTCTCCAATTTTTTTGTAGTAAAAGAGAGCATGCTGTGCTTGGGTTTTAAACTTATTTTCCTTGCTTTAGCACAAGAAGCAATAGATTATTTGATCCATGACCTCCACCGTTTCTCGATTTTTCCACAGCTTCTGCAAGTTTTGCCCCTTTGGCTACTTTGTGTCTGGTTATGTAAAATTTCTTTTATCTTGAATGGAGGGACCCTCAGGGAGCAATTTTTGACTGGGGTCTTAGGCATTGTCAAGAAGTTGAATTAGGGTGTTGTGTGTCGTTGTACTATTTGAGATGACCGACTGGTTTTCTCAAACTGTTAAAATGAGTGTATATTTTCGCTGCATACAGGATTCCAATGTATGGTCTCATCCTCATGATATTTATTTCTATAATTAATTTGTTGGTTGCATTGTTGACTGCATATTCTTATCAATACAATTGACTCCATATTACTTGTCCATTTTGTGCCAAGTCTGCAAACCACCTTTGCTCTATGAGACTATGACAACTTTGGTGGTGGAAAAAAACTTTAAAAAATAAAAATAATGAAAGGAAAGGGAAGATAGCATAAAGCAATATTGGTTTAGTCCTTTCACAAATTCAGGTTCTTATATTAGATTTCACATTCCTGATGATTCACTTTTGTCTTCCTTATTGTTGAATTTATTCTGTTTGCATACTGCATTCTTCCTCATTTAACTTTCTTGACATTTTTGTCTTGATTGAGGACTTTTTCTACCATTTTGCCTTTTCTTCTTCTTCTTCTTTGCCAAACTAAACCAGTTGTTCTTGGTGGACATTTGATAGAGGGTTTGATGTTCTTCAGTTTGGCTTGACAAATTCACAAAGTTTCATGAGTGCTTTGCTCTTTGATGCATGCCACATGTTTATCATCGGAATTGTACCAATGTTGGTTGCTCGTTCTTATGAGTCCAATCCATTTTGTGTGCATAGTTGTACTCACTTTCAAGAACTCGTTATCTTCGGTGTGAAAAAGTACTGGAACAGAAATCCAGGATAACAAATTATGCTCCTAATTATGTATAATGTTTTCTTGTTTATAAAAATTACACTGCTTGTGTTGAAAGTACTTCAAAATTGCTTTAATTTCAATCTCTTAATAAACCGAGATTGACTCATAACTTCTTGAATTCCTAACTAAGCTCACTGACCTGTATTCTCAGATCCAATGTCCTCATAGCAAAATTTCCATTTTTGGTTAATCTACTGTCTTAATCGCACTTCAATCATGCTGACATGATTTGGTTAATCATGCTGTTTTGCAGGGTAGTGATGGGTCATTGGATGATTGTGTCTACCATCTAATATGCCCTTGCTGCACATTATGTCAGGTTCGTTTGAGAGTTATGATTAAATAGCACTTCAACATGGTAAATAGAATAACTGAGTTACTTTTTCAAATTGGTTAGCTTTTAGTACCTGTCACATGGACTTTTCTACTTCTCTCAATGTGCCCCTATGTCCACCAGATACGATAAGGGTAAGGGTGTGGGATATGTGTCCGACACCTATACCTAATTTAGACACTCGGATTCTCTAATTTTGTATGATGTTTGAAGAAGAAGATACTCACATTTGCTAGTTAAAAACATTTCTGGCTTCATGAATGGGAGATGTAAATTCTATTTCTTAGAACTTGTTTAATATAAAGTAAATTTCTAATAATTTACAACATCCTATGTAATAAGATTATACGGTATGGTGGAAAAGGATTTTTGTAACCTACCATACTTGATTGGGACACAAGGTTTGATTTGATATGCAATATCTGACACTTGGACACACTCGCATCCTATACTTGTACCTAAGTTCGTGTAACATAGCTTTTAGCCAAAAAAAATTATTTTCTCAAACATTTCAGTCATATTTCTCTCTTATCTTTTGGAACGGGTGATTAACATTCTTGTAATCTGGATCAGGAATCTAGAACATTGGAGATGAACAATGTTCAAGATGGAACCTGGCATGGTCGGGGTGACACAATATGCATAGGACGCTATGGTGAAGGCAACAAAGCATTCTTTGAGCTACAACCACCGCCTATAGTTTCAACCAAGTCTTCTGATCCCTGCAGTCCGCAAAAATGTATAAATGCCGCAGATCACTTGTGGACTTCAGAAGTTGCGCATTCTGCACCTCTGGTCGCACAATCCCAATAACAGTCGCGTTCCAAATAATGTTTGGAGTCTAAAGTAGATTCAGATTTTGGGGATGGCTGTCCTGAGCATAGGGCATCCAACATCTGCTATGTGGCCTTGAGAGTGCTCTCTTCTGGTTTTGGAATGTTGACATGTTCAAAAGATTCGATAAGAATATGTTTGCACTTGAAGGAAGATGGAGCAAAATTCATGTATTTATTCGCGTGTGGGGGTGATTGGAACAGCCTCTGCATCAAAATGTATGTACACTCTAGTGTTATGATGATGGAAGTGCATCATTGTTGTTGTGTTCATTAGAAATTTGATTTAGGGTTTTCCGTCTATTTTCAGTGAATTGAGTCAATATGATAATGTAGTGTTAGATACTTCTGAATTTGTAGCTTTAGCCTTAAGTTGTCTGGAAAAAGTTCTACTGAAGATGCATTGATGAAGAAATTCAATTGTTGCCTTGTATGAATCGCAGAAAAAAAGAGTAGGAAATTATCCCACGCTTGGCTAAGATTTTATGACCCGAGATAACTAATTTAGAGAGGGGATGACACAAATTATTCTAACAAAAAACTTTTGTCGCAAAATAGCTTACTCGAACTAATTCATCCTATGTAATCTTATTGGTGAATCAAACAAGGCTTTTAACATGCATTGAATCCGGCAAGAGAGATTGAGATCTTAGGGCATGTTTGATTGGAAGGATTAAGAATGGGATTGGGATTATTAATCCGTGGGCCCAATCATCCTATATTTGTTTTGACATTTTGGTTTAGGATTATTAATCTAATGGATAATTAATCCAACAAATTTGTAGGATTATTAGTAATGGGGTAGGGGTGGGATAGTTAATACCACACTAATTTAATAGGATTATTAATACCTCACTATTAATGTTGTGAATCAAACATGACCTTAGAGCATGTGATTGTTCTAAGATGGCATGCATGGGTGTGACTTTGAGATTGAAATGCACTGCTTACTTTTACGCTGTGTTTGGTTGGAGGATTTGGGAAGGGAAAGGGAAAAAGTGTGTGAAATTAGGAGAAATATAGGTATGTTTTATTTACATTTCACCTACCATTTTCATTTCTCTTTCCAAATCCCTCATCAAATCCCCTAACCAATACTAAGCATTGGCAGATTGGGATTTGATGAAATTGACATTTTTAGGACTGTTTGTTTGTGTTTCACAGCTTGTGTTGGCACTCATTGGTACAAGGCAACAAGTCGTGCATAGAGCAGCTGAATGCCATCCATCCCCAAACCAAACCTCCTCCAAAAAGACTCATGCCAAACAATGGCAATGGTTGGCCATCCAAAAGTGAGTTGACCTCGAAGCATTCGACATCACCATTAAGAACTGGCCATATTCAAAAGACCCAAAAATATTCAATAAATTAATACCAAAAACTGGCCACAGTCCAACACTCACCCCTATTCACATCCGAAACCCATGAAATCTGACATCTTTACCACCACACCAATCCAGGGCTACTACTATGGCGCCAAGTACAACCCTAGGATTTGGAAAAAGAAGATGGAATCAATGGCAATACATGTTGGAATCCAATGACAAGAAAGACAGTAGACACACCTTTCGAGGAGCATATGTGAAGAAACAAAAGCAAGCCAAAGGCCGAAGGGTCCTAGGAGTAGTGTGTTTTAGGACAGTTAGCATGCTCTATTTGGTTTCAATTTTCCAAAAATTGAATGTTTTGTTTTTTGTATTTTTTGTTTTTTGTTTTTAGTGAATATTTTTAAAATTTGAAGCAATTTATTTTATTTTTTTAGATGCACCTTACTTAGATGTATCTAAATAGTAAAATGTTTGTGAAAAAATATTTTAAAAAATTAATAAATACACAAAAATATGAAAAATATATTCACCATGCTTGGTTTGAGTTTTCAGAAAATTTTACTTTCTTATTTTCCGTGTTTTTTTGTTTTTACTGAATTTTTTTAATATTTTAAGCAATTTTTTTTTATTTTTTAGACACACTTAACATAAATACAGCTAAAAAATAAAAAATTTGTAAATTTTTTTTTTAAAAATTCACTAAATACCAAAAATACAAAAAAATATAAGAATTTAGTACATTTTTTGTATTTTTATGTATTTATTAATTTTTTTAAATATTTTTTCACAATTTTTTTACTTTTTAGATACATATAACTAAGGCGCATCTAAAAAAGTAAAAAAAATGTTTAAAATTTAAAAAATATTCACTAAAAACAAAAGAATACGAAAACCAAAAAACTCAATTTTCAAAAAATTTAATTCAGAAAACTCAAACCAAACAAACTGATTGATTTTTTTTTTTGTATTTATTGAATTTTTAAAAGATTTTTTCACAAATATTATATTTTTTAAATGTATTTATATTAGGTGTGTCAAGAATTTAAAAAAAAAAACTACTTAAAATATTTAAAAAATTCAATGAAAATAAAAAAATACGAAAAACGAAAAAGTAAAATTTTCTAAAAATTGAATTTTGAAAATGAAAACCAAACAGAGTGATTAGTCTTTGGGATTATCAATTTTTTTTTAGACAAATATTTACTTTACTCTTTTGTGATTTTGTTTCGGAACACTTTAGTCCCTATAATTCAAATATAAGCAAAGAATCTCCTTATAATTTTGGATTAAAGTGCAAAGCTAACTTTGTTAAAAAGTAAAGGCAAAATTACCTAAATACTCTTATCTATTCTCTAATATATATTTAACAAATAAAATTATAGTAAAGTAAACACCATAATTTATTATCGTAAAAATATCTTTATCTGATTTTTAATTTTTAACTCAATTTATTATTTAATAACATTTTAAATAAAGTTTCCATAAATTAAACCATAATATTAAGTGAGATTGACCAATAAATCCTAAATGTTAAAATTGAGATTCAGATAGCCCCAAGAATTTTTTTTTATGTTCCGTTTGGTCTTATTGGATGTATAATGGCAAATTTAACATTTTGTTGGCGTTTACAGCGAGAAGAAATAGGTGTCACAATAAGAAAAAGTACACTATAGTCTTTTTAGAACTCTTTCATGTGATGGAACATGCCAAATCAACACTCTCTCAATCTTTTGTTGGATTTTTGTTGGGTGTTACATTGGGAAAAAGTAGGTGTCACAATGAAAAAAGTACAGCATAACCTTTTTAGAATCCTTTTTTATGGTGGAACATGCCATATGCCACAGCAGTTGGATTTTGTTGGATGTTACAGTAGAAAAAAAAAAGTGAGTGTTATAGTGGGAAAAAATACATTATAGCCTTTTTAGAACCTTTTCTTGCAATAGAACATGTCACGTGTCACATCAATTGGGAAAAAGTAGGTGTCACAGTGGGAAAAGGTACAACCGTCCAACAAAAATTACTAAACATACAAAACAGGATCTCACGATTATGTTATCAATACTAACAAGACTTATCATTGCAATTGAAAAAATATGGGACTGATTGGAGTAACTCTTCCTGGGATGGGACTTTATAGTAATTTTTCCGAAGATTAATCTAAACACCTTAATTTATTCCCATAAAATTAAATCGTAAAATTATCTTAATCTAATTTTAGATTTTTAATCTAATTTCTTATTTAATAACATTTTAAAATAAACATATATATATAACCAACTAAATCATAAATTAAACTAAACACCCTAATTTATTACCATAAAATCTTATTTAATAACATTTAATAAATTAAATCATAGATTAATATAAATACCTTAATTTATTACCGTAAAACTAAATCATAAAATTACCTTAATCTAATTTTTAATTTTTAACCCAATTTATTATTTAATAAAATTTATATTAAACATTTACATATATATTAAATTAAACCATAAATTAACCTAAATAGTCTAATTTAGTACCATAAAATTATCATATTCGCTATTTAATTTTTAGTCCAATTTCTCATCTAATAACATTTTGAATTAAATTAAATTATTGATGAAAGATAACCATTCAGGTTAGGATTTAATTAGGATTAAGATTTAATTTAGAGAATAAGATGAATATGAGGGTATTATTAACATTTGATTTAATTTTTGACTTTGACTAATGATTTTTGCATTGCCCACTCTCAATTTGGGATAGTGTAACTAATAATAGCACTTTAGTCCAAAATTATATTTGAACCATATGGGAGTAAAATGCTCCGAGATGAAATCACAAGGGGTAAAACGAATTTTGCCCATTTTTTTTAATTGTGTATTCTATCCTATATTTGAATTCGTCTAGGATTATGATTGAGGGATTAAAAAAATCTTATCAATTTCATAATTTAGCTAATTAATTCAAACCTCTCCTTGATTCCCATTTTGTGTCCCATCTTGTTGGATTCAATAGTCCCTCATATGGAGAATACTATGTTCAAACAAGCTATTAATTTGGACTCAAATTTTCTTAGTTCAATAAAAATTATGTAATTTTGTTAAATTATTAATCAAATCTCAAAGCCATATCACCAAACCAACTTGACCATATCAACATGTGTTACACATTTATTTTGTCGTTTACAATTAACTTTCTTTGCAGAGAGTGACTTGTGTTGTTAAAACCTTATAGGTGACCTAATCACCAGATTAATTAAATGAGAGTTCAAATAAAACATACAGAGTTGAACATATTATATGGTTGATTTATTTTTCATTCCAAAAGCTGTCATTGTTGCTTACTCATATTAGTACATTTTTTTTCAATATTTGAGAACTTCCAACACTTGTTAATTACTTTGTGATCTGAAGATTTGAAAGCAATTGTCAAACTTGGTGTACTCTTTGTCATGTTCCTTAATTTTCTGCAACTTGTTCATTTTTTTAATTATTTTTGGTTGTTTCATTTGTAGTCTGCACATCACTAGATGATCATAGCAAATGATGTCACATAAATAATAATAAGAAGAAGAAGAAGAAGAGAATATGCTTCTATGAGCATTAAGACCCTACGAATGAGACAATTAATGAAGAATCTTCCCATCTTGACAGTGAAACATATAAATAAATACTCAGGAAATTATTAGAATATGAAATTTGTAAATCATTTTTATGATAAGTTAGAATTTACACCATATAATCAAATTCGATTTTTTTTTTTTTTTAGCTTCTCTTTATTTATTTATTTATTTATTTTGGTAAGAATGCCCTTAGGTTCATCTCTCCGAACAAATCATTAAATTCAAACCTGATGGGCGAAATTTATTTGGTGGTCTTGAGTAACATCATGTGTTATCATAACTTGATATTTATTGGTTAACCCGCCCCCCCCCCCCCCCCCGCCGGTGAAGCGAAAATACTAAGTTCTCAACCTTACTCTGATACCATGTTAATAACTCTTGTATTATTGATTGATATTGATTGTCTGTGTATATTTTGTATATTACAAGCTATTATATAGGAGAGGATTTGGGAGTAGGTGAGGTAGGTGAGTGGTGGCAGTGGATGGTAGTGGAGGTGGTGGGTGGTAGTGGAGATGGTAGGTGGAGTTGGTGGTGTGGTAATTTACACAATTTACAATTTACAATTTACATTAACAAATAAATAAATAAATAAACTAAAGTACAAAGCCACAAAAACGGTAACAAAAATCACCATGTAATTCTTAAAAAATTCATCATTTTTCCTTATTGGGGTTGCTTAGAAGGAAAAGAATTAAAATAAGAAAGAAAGTAAACCGTTATTATTAGATTCTTTGTCTTTTGTTATATTGAAACAGAACAAGAAAGAAGAAACTTTTATCAGAAACTGGAGAGAAAGAATAGAGAAGAGACGTAGCTAAGTTTTTACTGAGAAAGTACTTCAAAATCATCATGTATAGACATATTTACAAGTAATTTTTGAACAAAATAAAAATAAAATTTCAAACTCACATCGATTATATTACCAAAAATAGACATGAGCAATAGACATGAGCAGTAATTTAATAAACATGTATCAAAATACTTGAAACCAAAAAAAAAAAAAAAGTAGTGAAAATATATGGAGAAATTATTTTTTGATGTATCTAAAAAAATAATATGAGAAAATTAGTGGGTACCTATCCCCGGTAGAGATTTAAAAAATATCACTTATCCTACCCAACGGACAAGAAAAAAAGGAAAAAAACTCATGTATTTAGGTTGGGTCTCCATAAATACCCACAGGATAAGTTATCTATTATCATCCTACGAGAATACGGTAAAAATGATAAAATATTATAATTTTATGTTGATAATTAAAAAATATAAAAAAACATAATAAATAATAATTGATGAATAAATATGAATATGTAATACTCCAGACTATTTAATAATTTTTTGAGAAATCCTCGGTAATAATTTTTTGAGAAATCCTGAGTAAGAAATTAGTAGACCGTTAATTTGGTTGGGAGAAGAGACTTATTAGAGACTGCTATATTGGCGGTCCACACGTGACAACAGCTGGAACCGTCGTTATCCTTGGCCCACGCTGTCACCCGCCAACCCTTTTTGCCAAAAAAGCATGAATGGCAAAAGCCAGCCAACCAACAACCCCTGTTAATGCCTCCAGGAGAATTCCAACCCAAATTGCCCAAATCCCCCATTTCTCTTTCTCTCATTATTGTCCATTAAAAAATTGTTAACAATTTGGATTTGGAGTTAGATATATATATATATATATATATATATGTACATATCTAGTAGTTAGAAGAGAGAGAAAGCCCTAATGGCGGAGGCGGAGAAAGTAGGGGCCGGCGTGAAGGAGGAGGAGGAGGAAGAACAGAAGTTTTTGGAAGGTGTGACAGTGTTGGATTTTGATATGCTGTGCTCTACGGTGGCTTCTCAGACCCAAGGCAAATGGAGGAATTTAGATACTCTTCATCATGATGAATCTCAAGATGGTGTTGTTGGTGCTGAATTTGGAGGTGTTCTTCGGATGTGGGAAGGTGAAGTTGTCAATTGCTTCGACGACCGCCGCATCGCTCTCCAATCCGTTTGGTAAAAACCCACCCTTACTGAGACACATCTCTGTTTCAGGCGGAATGTGATTTTTTTTTTTCTTTTTTTTGTTCCTCTTGGTGAAATCAGGGGATTTCTGTCGATTTTTTTACTTAAACTTCTAGCCTTTGAATATGTTGTTGAATAGCGCAAATGGGTTTTGACGAATGAATGATATTCTTCATTTTTCTCTTGATTTACCGTCACTTATTTGGTTAGACTTAGAATATGTTTGCAATTCCACCCATGTTGACGCACTGTTAATTTCAACAAATATTTATACTTGAATTGTTGTTTGATACTTGTGTTAAATCGGATTGTGCATTTGCAGTTGTCCATGCTATCGATTTGGGAAGAACATGGGGCGGGCTGGTTTTGGTTCTTGTTTTGTTCAGGTTAAGTATTTTCATTGTTTAGAAATGTTACGCTTACTTTGTTTTTAGTAACACCTGTAATTAGCCCCCATCGTTCTGGTAATATATTTCTATGTGCATGGATTACAAGAAATACAATGAGAATAGGGAAAAAAGAATAAATAAAAAAATTTGAATCCTTAACTCAACTACTTATGACGGACACATTTGACGTTATTTTTCCCCTTCCTTTTGTCTTGGAACTTTAAAATGTGCCCAACATGTACAAAAGTTCCTGAATAATCTGTTTTTAAAGTAGATATTTTTTTCAATGGCACATGATATTTCCTGTGGAAGTGTCATATGCTTGACCAGTTTCAAATCAGTTTGACCCCAACCATATGGTTTGACACTAACTCTCAACACTTGGTAGTATCTTTTCTTGCTCAGTGCCATGAGTCATTTTGATTCTACTTGTATTATGATGCTGTCAATGTTTGTCCACATATGCTACGACAAATAATTAAGGGGAATTCCATTTTATCTATTGTAGTTTACCTCCGGAGCACAAAACCCCTTGTTGTTCAAAAATAACTATGTGGTTTTAGACTAAAATGTAACACTAACTGTGTTAGTTGAAAGTAAAAAATAACCTTCATAGTCCTTTGCTATCTTCTCTTTCTTTCGTTTTTGTTTCAACTCTGTCAACCACCACCACCAGATTAAATCGCCACTGCCACAACCCACACCTACCAGATTCAACCATCATTGCTATATTATATACACATATATATACCTATACATATACATGTACATATAATAATCTACTTTTGTACACATCTACAGAACCTATATAGACACACATATACACAGCCTAGTGAGCACAATTTGATTGGTGGGAGCAACTTTGCATCAGCCGCGGAAGTTTTTATTGCTGATGCATTGCCTAGAATGGTGCTGTTTGCAGCCCTATTTTCCCATCATATCTATAGCACTACTGGACTTGAGAGAGGTTTAGGTACTTGGCATTGGCATCAAACCGGTAAATGCCTAAAAAAATTAAAACAATTAGACAGTAACAAATTGTTAAGGAAAATGATATACAAGCCCACTTTTTGGGCCTAATGTGGATATTGGAATTGAAATAAAGGAAATGTTTTCTTGTTTATAAAAATTACGCTGCTTGCATTGAAAGTAATTCAAAATTGCTTTAATTTCAATCTCTTAAAAAACCGAGATTGGCTCATAACTTCTTGAATTCCTAACTAAGCTCACTGACCTGTATTCTCAGATCCAATGTCCTCATAGCAAAATTTCCATTTTTGGTTAATCTACTGTCTTAATCGCACGTCAATCATGCTGACATGATTTGGTTAATCATGCTGTTTTGCAGGGTAGTGATGGGTCATTGGATGATTGTATCTACCATCTAATATGCCCTTGCTGCACATTATGTCAGGTTTGTTGGAGAGTTATGATTAAATAGGAGGGGTGGGGGAAGGTGGCCATCCAGAGTTGGTGACGGCTGGGGTGGGGGCAGGGTTAAGGTTAGAATTGAGATGTTAGGAATGGGGGGATAAAATAGGAATTTTTATAAAAAATAACGCTCAATTAGTACACTTTAATGTGTGTTTGAGAGAGAAAAGATTGGGTATACACCTAACCTTTGGCATAATGCGCACGTGGTTACCCCGTGACTTGATCCCATAATCTCAAGGTTATTAGGCCATGATTTTACCATTGAACCAATGGTCACCCCTAAAATAGGAATTTTATGTTATGGTAAAATTTTAATATAAAGAAAATGAAGTAGGCGGGGGTCCTAAAAAGAAAGGCGGGTGTTATTAGCAATACTCTAAATGAATATATGCTAATTGATATAGCAGTAAGTTTCATTTATATTATTAGGAATTGGGGTTAGTTAATCATTTTTCATTCTATACTTATTCCTAAATTTCAGTTATCCTATTTTTTTAAACCATTGAAACTTTGTTAAAGTGCGATTTTTCATTTTAATTCAAGCAGGGAATTGTATATTTCATTCTTGCTGCTACGGCACTTCTCAGCTGCATAGCCTTTATTGTGACTAAGAGAAATTGCTTTCTGTATTTGGCCGTTGTTTTCTCCATCTCAGTTGGAACATATCTGGGATTTTACCGTACACAGATCAGGAAAAAGTTTAACATCAGTGTAAGCATCTCTATCTAAGGTTGTTTATGATTCTACATTGTCTGACTCCTGTTTTTCAGGCAGCCTTTGTTTAATATATTTTTTTCCTATTTTTGTTTCACTTTGGACAGTCTCCAATATTTTTGTAGTAAAAGAGAGCACGTTGTGCTTGGGTTTTTAACTTATTTTCCTTACTTCAGCACAAGAAGCAATAGATTATTTGATCCATGACCTCCACCATTTCTCGATTTTTCCACAGCTTCTGCAAGTTTTGCCCCTTTGGCTACTTTGTGTCTGGTTATGTAAAATTTCTTTTATCTTGAATGGAGGGACCCTTGGGGAGCAATTTTTGACTGTGGTCTTGGGCATTGTCAAGAAATTGAATTAGGGTGTTGTGTGTCTTTGTACTATTTGAGATGACCGACCGGTTTTCTCAAACTGTTAAAATGAGTGTTGTCTATTTTCACCGCATACAGGATTCCAATGAATGGTCTCATCCTCATGTTTTTTTTTCCTATAATTAATTTGTTGGTTGCATCATTGACTACATATTCTTATCAATACAATTGACTCCATATTGCTTGTCCATTTTGTGCCAAGTCTGCAAACCACCTTTGCTCTATGAGACTATGACAACTTTGGTGGTGGAAAAAACTTTAAAAAATAAAAATAATGAAAGGATAGGGAAGATAGTATAAAGCAATATTGGTTTAGTCCTTTTACAAATTCAGGTTCTTATATTAGATTTCACATTCCTGATGATTTACTTTTGTCTTCCTTATTGTTGAATTTACTCTGTTTGAATACTGCATTCTTCCTCATTTTCTTGACATTTTTGTCTTGATTGAGGATTCTTCTTCTTCTTCTTCTTCTTCAAATAATGAGTCAAACAATAAAAGTCCTGCCAAACTAAACCAGTTGTTCTTGGTGGACATTTGATAGAGGGTTTGATGTTCTTCAGCTTGGCTTGACAAACTCACAAAGTTTCATGAGTGCTTTGCTCTTTGATGCATGCCACATGTTTATCATCGGAATTGTACCAATGTTGGTTACTCGTTCTTACGAGTCCAATCCATTCTGTGTGCATAGTTGCACTCACTTTCAAGAACTCAATATCTTCGGTGTGAAAAAGTACTGGAACAGAAATCCAGGATAACAAATTATGCTCCTAAATATGTAAAATGTTTTCTTGTTTATAAAAATTACGCTGCTTGCATTGAAAGTAATTCAAAATTGCTTTAATTTCAATCTCTTAAAAAACCGAGATTGGCTCATAACTTCTTGAATTCCTAACTAAGCTCACTGACCTGTATTCTCAGATCCAATGTCCTCGTAGCAAAATTTCCATTTTTGGTTAATCTACTGTCTTAATCGCACGTCAATCATGCTGACATGATTTGGTTAATCATGCTGTTTTGCAGGGTAGTGATGGGTCATTGGATGATTGTATCTACCATCTAATATGCCCTTGCTGCACATTATGTCAGGTTTGTTGGAGAGTTATGATTAAATAGCACTTGAACATGGTAAACAGAATAACTGAGTTACTTTTTCAAATTGGTTAACTTTTAGTACCTGTCACATGGACTCTTCTACTTCTCTCCACGTGGCCCTATGTCCACCAGATACAATAAGGGTAAGGGTGTGGGATATGTGTCCGACACCTATACCTAATTTAGACATTTGGATTCTCTAATTTTGTATGATGTTTGAAGACGAAGATACTCACATTTGCTAGTTAAAAACATTTCTGGCTTCATGAATGGGAGATGTAAATTCTATTTCTTAGAACTTGTTTAATTTGAAGTAAATTTCTAATAATTTACAACATCCTATGTAATAAGATTATACGGTATGGTGGAAAAGGATTTATGTAACCTACCATACTTGATTGGGACACAAGGTTTGATTTGATATGCAACATCTGACACTTGGACACACTCGCATCCTATACTTGTACCTAAGTCCGTGTAACATAGCTTTTAGCAAAAAAAATTATTTTCTCAAACATTTCAGTCATATTTCTCTCTTATCTTTTGGAACGGGTGATTAACGTTCTTGTAATCTGGATCAGGAATCTAGAACATTGGAGATGAACAATGTTCAAGATGGAACCTGGCATGGTCGGGGTGACACAATATGCATAGGACGCTATGGTGAAGGCAACAAAGCATTCTTTGAGCTACAACCACCGCCTATAGTGTCAACCAAGTCTTCTGATCCCCGCAGTCCGCAAAAATGTATAAATGCCGCAGATCACTCGTGGACTTCAGAAGTTGCGCATTCTGCACCTCTGGTCCCACAATCCCAATAACAGTCGCATTCCAAATAATGTTTGGAGTCTAAAGTTGATTCAGATTTTGGGGATGGCTGTCCTGAGCATAGGACATCCAACATCTGCTATGTGGCCTTGAGAATGCTGTCTCTTCTGGTTTTGGAATGTTGACATGTTCAAAAGATTTGATAAGAATATGTTTGCACTTGAAGGAAGATGGAGCAAAATTCATGTATTTATTCGCGTGTGGGGGTGATTGGAACAGCCTCTACATCAACATGTATGTACACTCTAGTGTTGTGATGATAGAAGTGCATCATTGTTGTTGTGTTCATTAGAATTTTGATTTAGGGTTTTCCGTCTATTTTCAGTGAATTGAGTCAATATGATAACGTAGTGTTTGATACTTCTGAATTTGTAGCTTTAGCCCTTAAGTTGTCTGGAAAAAGTTCTGCTGAAGATGCATTGATGAAGAAATTCAATTGTTGCCTTGTATGAATCGCAGAAAAAAAGAATAGGAAATTATCCCACGGTTGGCTAAGATTTTATGACCCGAGATAACTAATTTAGAGAGGGGATGACACAAATTATTCTAACAAAAAACTTTTGTCGCAAAATACCCTACTCGAACTAATTTATCCTATGTAATCTTATTGGTGAATCAAACAAGGCTTTTAACATGCATTGAATCCGGCAAGAGAGATTGAGATCTTAGAGCATGTGATTGTTCTAAGATGGCATGCATGGGTGTGACTTTGAGATTGAAATGCACTGCTTACTTTTAAGGATAAGCATTGGCAGATTGGGATTTGATGAAATTAACATTTTCAGGACTGTTTGTTTGTGTTTAACAGCTTGTGTTGGCACTCATCTGTACAAGGCAACAAGTCGTGCATAGAGCAGCTGCAAAAAGACTCATGCCAAACACTGGCGATAGTTCGACATCACCACTAGGAACTGGCCATATTCAAAAAACCCAAAAATATTCAATACATTAATACCAAAAACTGGCCAGAGTCCGAAACCCATGAAATCTGACATCTTTACTACCACACCACCTCACAATGAGCACACTACCAATCCAGGGCTACAACTATGGCGCCAAGTACAACCCTAGGATTTGGAAAAAGAAGATGGAAACAATGGCAATACATGTTGGAATCCAATGACAACGAAGACACTAGACACACCTTTCAAGGAAAAGCAAGCCAAAGGTGGAAGGGTCCTAGGAATAGTGTGTTTTAGGGCAGTTATTATTCTCTATTTGGTTTCAATTTTCAAAAAATTAAATATTTTGTTTTTCATATTTTTTTTTTGTTCGCTTTTAGTGAATATTTTTAAAATTTTAAGCAATTCTTTTTACATTTTTAGATGTACCTTACTTAAATGTATCTAAATAGTAAAATGTTTGTGAAAAATATTTTTAAAAATTAATAAATACGAAAAATATATTGAATTTTCATTTTTTTTTTGTATTTTTGGTATTTATTGAATTTTTTAAAGATTTTTTTCACAAATATTATATTTTTTAAGTATATTTATATCATGTGTGCCTAAAAATTTAACAAAAAAATGCTTAAAATATTAAAAAAAATTTAGTAAAATAAAAAAATACGAAAAACGAAAAAGTAAAATTTTTTAAAAAATGAATTCTGAAAATGAAAACCAAACAAAGTGATTAGTCTTTGGGATTTGCAAAAAATTTTTAGACAAATATTCACTTTACTCTTTTATGATTTCGTTTCAGAACACTTTAGTCCATGTAGTTCAAATATAAGCAAAGAATCTCCTTATAATTTTGGATTAAAGTGCAAAGCTAACTTTGTTAAAAAGTAAAGGCAAAACTACCTAAATACTCTTATCTATTCTCTAATATATATTTAACAAATAAAATTATAGTAAAGTAAACACCATAATTTATTATCGTAAAAATATCTTAATCTGATTTTTAATTTTTCACTCAATTTATTATTTAATAACATTTTGAATAAAGTTACCATAAATTAAACCATAAGATTAAGGGAGATTGACCAATAAGTCCTAAATGTTATAAAATTGTGATCTAGATAGTCCCAAGATTTTTCTTATCTTCTGTTTGGTCTTATTGGATGTGTAATGGCAAATTTAACATTTTGTTGGGCGTTTATAGTGGGAAGAAATAGGCATCACAGGAGGAAAAAGTACACAATAGTCTTTTTAAAACTCTTTCTTGTGATGGAACATGCCAAATCAACACTCTCCCAATCTTTTGTTGGATTTTGGTTGGGTGTTACATTAGAAAAAAGTAGGTGTCACAGTGAAAAAAAGTACACTATAACCTTTTTAGAATCATTTCTTATGGTGGAACATGCCATATGCCATAGTAGTTGAATTTTGTTGGGTGTTACAGTAGAAAAAAAGTGAGTGTCAGAGTGGGAAAAAATACATTATAGCCGTTTTAAAATCCTTTCTTGCAACAGAACACGTCACATCAACTGAGAAAAAGTAGTTGTCACAGTGAAAAAAGGTACAACCGTCCAACAAAAATTATTAAACATACAAAATAGAATCTCACGATTATATTATCAAGACCAACAAGACTTATCATTGCAATTGAAAAAATATGGGATTGATTGGAGTAACTCTTCCTAAGATGGAACTTGATAGTAATTTTTCCGAAGATTAATCTAAACACCTTAACTTATTACCATAAAATTAAATCGTAAAATTATCTTAATCTAATTTTTAATTTTTAATCTAAGTTCTTATTTAATAACATTTTAAAATAAACATATATATAACCAACTAAATCATAAATTAAACTAAACACCCTAATTTATTACCATAAAATCTTATTTAATAACATTTAATATATTAAATCATAAATTAATATAAATACCTTAATTTATTACCGTAAAATTAAATCATAAAATTACCTTAATCTAATTTTTAATTTTTAACCCAATTTATTATTTAATAAAATTTATATTAAACATTTACATATATATTAAATTAAACCATAAATTAACCTAAATAGTCTAATTTAGTACCATAAAATTATCATATTCGCTATTTAATTTTTAGTCCAATTTCTCATCTAATAACATTTTGAATTAAATTAAATTATTGATGAAAGATAACCATTCAGGTTAGGATTTAATTAGGATTAAGATTTAATTTAGAGAATAAGATGAATATGAGGGTATTATTAACATTTGATTTAATTTTTGACTTTGACTAATGATTTTTGCATTGCCCAATCTCAATTTGGGAGAGTGTAACTAATAAGAGCACTTTAGTCCAAAATTATATTTGAACCATAAGGGAGTAAAATGCTCCGAGAGAAATCACAAGTGATAAAATGAATTTTGCCCATCTTTTTTAATTGTGTATTTTATCCTATATTTGAATTCGTCTAGGATTATGATTGAGGGATTAAAAAAATCTTATCAATTTCATAATTTAGCTAATTAATTCAAACCTCTCCTTGATTCCCATTTTGTGTCCCATCTTGTTGGATTCAATAGTCCCTCATATGGAGAATACTATGTTCAAACAAGCTATTAATTTGGACTCAAATTTTCTTAGTTCAATAAAAATTATGTAATTTTGTTAAATTATTAATCAAATCTCAAAGCCATATCACCAAACCAACTTGACCATATCAACATGTGTTACACATTTATTTTGTCGTTTACAATTAACTTTCTTTGCAGAGAGTGACTTGTGTTGTTAAAACCTTATAGGTGACCTAATCACCAGATTAATTAAATGAGAGTTCAAATAAAACATACAGAGTTGAACATATTATATGGTTGATTTATTTTTCATTCCAAAAGCTGTCATTGTTGCTTACTCATATTAGTACATTTTTTTTCAATATTTGAGAACTTCCAACACTTGTTAATTACTTTGTGATCTGAAGATTTGAAAGCAATTGTCAAACTTGGTGTACTCTTTGTCATGTTCCTTAATTTTCTGCAACTTGTTCATTTTTTTAATTATTTTTGGTTGTTTCATTTGTAGTCTGCACATCACTAGATGATCATAGCAAATGATGTCACATAAATAATAATAAGAAGAAGAAGAAGAAGAAGAAGAAGAGAATATGCTTCTATGAGCATTAAGACCCTACGAATGAGACAATTAATGAAGAATCTTCCCATCTTGACAGTGAAACATATAAATAAATACTCAGGAAATTATTAGAATATGAAATTTGTAAATCATTTTTATGATAAGTTAGAATTTACACCATATAATCAAATTCGATATTTTTTTTTTTAGCTTCTCTTTATTTATTTATTTATTTATTTTGGTAAGAATGCCCTTAGGTTCATCTCTCCGAACAAATCATTAAATTCAAACCTGATGGGCGAAATTTATTTGGTGGTCTTGAGTAACATCATGTGTTATCATAACTTGATATTTATTGGTTAAACTAATCGAATTTATTACTTTTTATTGAATTTTTAAACAATAACTTGACAAATACAAAGTGATAAATGGTTTGAAATATTTCTACCACCAAATAATCTCTCATTGATGGGGGATAAGGGCTCACCGCTCCAACATTTTGGTGAATGCCACTTTTATATGTATGTAATTTTTAAACATTTTTGTATTTTATATAAGGAAAATGGGGGAGACCCCACTGGGGAGACCCTCAACACCCCAGTGGGTGCTGATTGGTCCAACAAATTTTTCTTCCACTCTTTGCCCCCCACGTGTATGTGGGGGTTGTGGGGGTCACCCCCAACTGGGGGCCTCCAGCAGCGTTGTTTATATAATGGTACCTTCAAACTTAATTCAGTACTCTCAAAAAATTTAAAAGTCTCATAAAATGACCCCCCAAAAATTTAATCTGATAATATAATCTATTTGATTGGTGTGAAATCATAGTAAAAGAAAGTTGTTAAATATTGTTAGAGAGAAGAATTTGGCTTCTCATATAGATTCCTATAACTTTTTAGGGCTAATTACATCAATGGTCATCTTAATTCCCTTAAAGTTTTAATTTAGTCATCGTGCTTTGAATTTCATCAATTTAATCCTTGAACTTTTTGATTTGATCCAATTCCGTCTTTATAAATTTTCTAAGGTTTTGTTTATTATACTATTGTCCCTTAAGTTTTATCATATTATAAAAAAAATGTTTTTTTCAATTAAAATCTATAAATATAATTATTGATATAATATTAGCAATAGCTCTATTTATTATTATTTTTAAGTTATAAGTTTTATATCTTAAATTCTGTTATATTGTTATAGGTATATGTCATTTGTTTTACTTGAATTATTATGTTAGGTCTTAAATCTATGCTATACTTTTATCTTTATATTAGTATTTTAACGAATCGTTGCTATATAATTTTTTACCCCTTTTGCGTGGTTCTTTTTTTCTTTCTTCTTCAAAAGTGAATTCTTTAATACTAATCTCGTTGATACTTAATGCAATTTCTTTAATTGGGGACTAATTTAATAATAAATCTTGTAATTCTACCCTTGCCTTTTCTAAAG